AAAACGTAAGTGTTGCCCGGTTCGACTCTTGATCTGATCACTGGCTATCCCGAGTTTTTAGGTTTTTTTTATGTATTTATGTAATCTGCCCAGGCGTTCGGTGGGACAATATCTTTAAGGAGGCTACGGCCAATTCTTTCCAAATCCGTCCAATTCCGAGCACACAGCGGTCCTCTAATTCCTTCGACGCTAATTAATCTATGTTTGATATAGCGTCGTCAGATGAACACTTAGAAATATATTCGTAACTCACTCATGGAGCTGAGCCCTTCTTGAGAAGCCGCCAATTTTGCAGCTACTCCAGAATTTCCCCGCATTTTATGGAACCCGAAGGTTCATTACCGTGTTCACAAGAGCCCTCCATCGGTCCCTATCCTGAGCCAGATCAATCCAATCAATACTATACCATCCGATCCCTCTAAGATCCATTTGAATACTGTCCGCCAACCTACGTCTTGGTATTCATAGTAATCACTTTCTTTCTGAAGTTCCCACCAATATCCTATATGCATTTCTCTCTTCCCCATTCGCGCTACATACCCTGCCCAGCTCATGCTCTTCGAGTTGATCATTGTAGTTATATGTTTATAGCAATAACTTCTCAATATATTTAACTGTAGGTGCAGTTTGAGTGCATTATTGAACCTTGCTAAAACTATGGCATAGCCGTTACTGTATGGAGGCTGAACAAGAAGTTATGGGAAAAACTAATTGGGTACTTTTTTTGAGACAACACGGACCGCATAGAAACCTACGCATCTGATGATTGTTGCGTGTTTATTCATGTCGCAATAACGGTTTTATCGAGCCATTGCCTAGCAACATTGGGGGAGTACACGCACAGGCACAGAGCGATGGGAGGGATTTATGAAGTAAGCCGCTGAGATTGGCTCAGGTGCCATGAAATACATACCAAGTTTCATAAGTACTGGTTCAGACATTCAGAAGTTAATGAAAGGGGAAGGTACACAGACGTACAGACAGCATTGTGATCTCATGAACCTGCTTTTATTATTTCAGAACAAGGAAAGTAGGCTGGAAACGAATGCAAGCACTATGTTCACGGCCATGCATTAAATTCTGTAGCACGTGTAGTTCGGCCAGACGAACAAACTGCTTCAGGTGTCTTGTTTTCATAATGTTACATTGGAACTCACAGTACTTGGCCATGACTACCTCTGTTGCTTCAGAGAGATAAGAAGTAGCGAAGTTAGAGATATGTAGGCCCTATATATGTACTAAGTAACATGGAAACTGAATGGGAAATATACAGTACATATCTTAACAACTGTATGAATTGTATAACTGAAAGTTGCAGCCAAATTTCGGGCACGCGTTCCACGTATCAGAACATGTGTCCGGAAACTGTACTTTGTGAGTTACAGCTTAAAAAGCACATTTATAACAAGTGCTCAAGATGCCCTCAATGAGATTCAATGCGCGCGTCGAAACTTCCCATCATGGACCGCCGCATCAATTCAAAGATTCCGGAATAATTTCAGATAGTCTAACAGGCATGCACGATGCGATGGAGAACTGCCTCTCCGTTTTCAACAGGGGCTGCATGTACAAGGGGTTTCAGTTGTCCCCACATGAGGCCATGCAGTGGGTCCTCCTCTATATATCCATCGGTCATGATAGATGTTCCTGAAAACATCTCGCTCAGCATGGCTATAGGTGACGACAATATTCTTTCAGCTGTAACTCACAAATTAAATGTCTCAGGACAGATGCTGCTATGGGCATTTCTTCTTGTTTTGGTATGTGGAACTCATGCCCAAAGCGTGTCCGCACCTTTCCGTTACACTCTGTATAAAAGAACAAAGGAGAAGTTAGTAGGTAATATGGCGTGTGTGCTTGTGTATGCGTGTGCCCGCGCACGCGCGCTCGCGGGAGATGATTGTATAGTACAATCTAAACTTGACCACTGACTCTGAGAGTAACTAACTAAATTCTGTTGTGCAAAAGTCATGCATTTCAGTGCCACCACAGAATTCAGTCACTATAGACTATAGTCACTGGTTGAATGATGTGTGATAACTTTCTGAATGAGGATTGATCAGATGTGACAGGATACTGTATGGGCAGACTGCCATTCTGGATTTCTGGAACAAAGTAGACCTCTTCAAACGTACAGGCTTAAAAGACGTTAGTTTTCAGTTATCTTTAAAAAAAATTCCTCTTCGAAATTTATTCTTTTTCTTAAGAATAGTGCTCCCTGTCTCTGTCCCTGTGTAATCCTCGTGTTGCGATAGTTACAGCACGGCCATCTTACGGTTTTCTGCATCGCTGTGTCGTTCAGGCGGAAGATTCTTGAAGTTTATCGAATCTAGTTCCGCTGACTGCTACAGAATCGTCAGGACTGTAGCCTAACAAATTACAAATAAAACTTACTCAGCAGCAGAGACTGGTAATCTCTTTGTTGTTTTTCACGAATTTCTGGTACCTCTAATAAAAAGTTAAATTCACACTTTGAAGTTCTTTTACGGGAACAGAGCAAATTTGAAGTGATGTTCAGACCGCAGTATCTATGTAGGCCATCTGATCGATGTTGGATGATAATGCGCAAGCTTATCACCGACTTCATCAAATTACTGTTCAGTGTGCACACAGCGTTTCGATTCAACACCCTCCCCTTTGTTCTTTCATTTGTCTGGTAACGATAAAACCTTCGTTAGGCCTAAAAATTCTCCCTTCAGCAGCAGAGAGAGTAGCTGCTACATCTTCTGTGGTCTGGTAATGTTTTATTTTAAATTTTTAGGCTGGTATTCCGAATCCCAGCGGGAGAAGCCTCAGACTTTCGCCTGACGGTTCGACGGTTTGCACGAAACTAAAAAATGATCCAAATCTATAATGACAGTGCCAATGTTTCGATACCTGATGTGAATAAAATGCGCTCTTGAAACTCCTTCCGTGTGTCACTCAGGCCTATATTCCGCGTGTTCGGGTCTTATTGCTAAAATGGCACGTGTTGAGGTGACTGAGTTAGGATTTAAACAGGATTTGTGAAAATTGGAAAGTATTATTCTGTCACTCCCCCGAAGGTTTGAAGTAAAATTGAAGATTCATTTGCCAGGATAATCGTTCGCGAAATTCGATGACATGACTTTTGCGATAGAGAATCCGTGGCCTCATTGTTAGCTAAGTTACCATTGTCACGGCGATAGCATTTGAAGGCCGCTCGTCGGCAGACGTGATTGGCTGATTTCAGGAAGAATATAATGGCAGACGTGTACAAGAGCAGCGCAATGTTTAAGTTTGTTGGTACTCGTATATACGTTAAACAACAGCATTTATTTGCAGGTTTCCGTAACAGAGAGTGACTATTGTGCTGAATGCTATGGGGTTCCTTGGGTTTGGACTAAAGTGTTTAATTATTAGTTAGATGCTTCGTTCCTAACGGGGAACCAGACGAATGCATTGAAACTGTGGCATGAAATGTTTGAGTCACGACTTGCGAAATCTCATTGAAAAAGTTTAGAAGGTAGGTTTATACTGAGGTTTCATTCGTAGCGCCGCAAACAAACACCTACTTCAACTTGTGTGGTGGTTCCTGTACAGGAGCTTAATTGACCCTCCTTGTCACCTCCCCACTCTTGAAGAACAACTTTATCCATCATCAACAGAGAAAGAAGCCATCTTAGTTTGGTGTACTAGTGAAATATTGACTGAAGAGCACATTTCTTAAAGCTACATACGAGCTGTGCGAACACGGAAATCAAATAGGATTTCATAATATATTTACTATTTGAAATATAATTACATATTTGTTTTATTTATTTATTTTAGGATATTTACAATCTACTCGTAATGTACTAATACAGAGTAATTAGCAAATGTTAGGGCGTTGCGTGGCTTGTAGGGAGTACCATCCACTGATGGGTTATCCTCCCCTACCTAGAATAGGTCTTCTGGCCATTGACGTTTGAGTTTTCTGTTCACTAAGGGTTGGACGGCGAGTTCTCTAACTACATATGGAGATCTCTTTGTGCTCTCTGAGAATAAATTGATGAATCCAAAATTAATTCACTCCACAGACCATAGTCCTTGTTGAGAAGCTAACAGTAGCTTAACTCCTCATCGTTTATTGAACCCGACGTTTATCACCATGTTCACAACAGCCTGTAGTGCTTATCCTAAGCCAATTAATCTTGTCCATAACCCCCAACCTCATGGCATTATACAATGAAGGCGTATGGGGAAGTGTATGTATAGATCCACATATTCTTGACATCGTCATTAGCTGGAGGTGAGTGGTCAGCTTCACGCCCTGGTCACTTAACCCCGGGGAAAGAGCCCGGAGGTTGGGTGAAACCCAGAGCCGGTCTCGACGTTATGGAGAAGAGAAATTTCTCGACTCTCTTGGGACTCGAACTTCGACCCCTCGGTCGTCCAGCCGGTAGCCAGTCGCTATACCGAATACACTGCCCCGGCTCCTTTCCTTATTCTATAAGGGAAGATAAACGTGTGCTTGAGGTTGTGTCCCATAGTGTGTCTTCCTGTCTCCAGATATGAAGATATGGGCGAAGCTACGTTGACATTTTTATAGATATCCACTTCTGTAGAGTGGCTTTCATAATCTTCAGTTGACTATCATCGGTAATACCGGTATGGCTGGCGTGAAATCATCTGAGGTGGGATGACAGAAGCACCATTTACTCTAGAGTCCTGAAATTTACATTTATGTGCCGATGTGCCGACGAGTACTTAACCCTTTTAATGTTAGTGACCTTGACCGACACTCCTGAAGATGCTGTAAAGGTTATCGCAGTGTAAGAATTTCCAGTATTGCCTATAAAAGTGCACCGTCTCTCGACTTTCTGTGTGAATGCAATGCGACTATTTACGTATGCAGGGAGTGTGTTTAAAGAATAGATTATGTCTTGTATACATTTGTTGTTTTGATTAGCCTTTCATTGTATTTCTAAGTTTTCGCATACAGCTTCAGTGTCTTGTAAAAGAGTGATTCAACAACACGGAATTTCATTTTTGTGTTTCAGATTATAATGCAGCTAACAGACAACTGTAGAAGGGTTGTACACCAGGGACCTTAACTTTGCAAGACTTGCATCATGCGTACTGCATAGGCCAACTATATCTGAGCTTACGTGAGTTCGTAGAGCTTTTGTCCTTCCTGTTTCATTTATGTATTTAAGTATGTATTAAGACGAGACGTAGGAAGACCTAAAAGATGTTGGCAGGTCCAATTTTAGTCCTTGAGTCTGAAAGGGTAGAATGATTTAACCCAAGAATTTACTGATGAGAGGTATGCAAGTCTAGTATACTTATTTGTTTCTTCGTTTAGAAACTGACTAAGCGAGTAACTGTTTGATGTAGGATAGCAAGTCTTCCTGCCAAGGGTTGAACTGAGTACCATCAGAATAGCAAACATGACTACTAAAACTTATACTGCTCTATTAGGCTTTAGGTTTGAAAAATAGGGAATCAATGTTGCATGAATTTTTGAGGGAGCGGCGAAGTGAGACTTATGTTATGTGTCGAAATATATTTCTCAGGACTGAATTAGACTCTTACTATACTCGTAATGCAGTGATCTTGCTCTGCTATTGTGGCCCTTAAATTAAACATAACTACATTAAAGGTAAAAAGGTAAAGCTATCCCTGTAACAGGCCATACAGGCGCGTAGGGTTGTGAGACGTTGAGGTTCCCACATTATCTAGACATTCGGCTCACAGATGGCGGTAAGGTTGTCAACCTTACGCGCCGTCCACCCTTTACTCACAAGGAATATTCCTTGTTCTCATTTATGTTAGAGACTGAGTTGACCCCAGAGCCATAGTCCCTCCAAGACTAGCGGTTCTATTTTTTCAATCAGGATCAGAGGGCCTTTTGTAGTGGAGACTCAACATGTATCTCAGACTACGCCTAGTACTTAAATAGACGAAATGCTTACAGAGAGACCCCTTCTCTTGAAATAAAATGCCCTTATTCCATGCACGGAAAAATTACAAACAAAAGAAATTTTATAAACTTCTTTAGACCTTTGTGATCTGTGATTATAAACCTAAAAGACCTGGGCCCGAAATATTTTGGCGTATCATTGCTCTTCCAAATGGCGAAAGCTTAGATTCGAAGACGGGTGTAGTTTGTCCAAGACACGAATTTCCTCTGAGACGATGAAGCAGTTAGAGCCAATTATTCTGTGGATTTGTTACAGCAAGGTCATGTCTTCATTCCTGATTTTCGCTGGACACGACACATTAATTCTGTTGATGTAAGACTGCAACCCAAATGTTCTGGTGTGACGGTTTGCGCCACCAACACATACAAAACAACAATGGGTCGATTTTCTCACCAGGTTCATGTCGTAGCTTAATATTTTGTTGAAAGGATAATAATGACTTTGATATCCAATAAAGTCGCGGGTTAATTTCTCCGCAAAGGGTTAATTTAACATCGAACTTCCAGAGTATCTTGCAGTTTTCTTTCTGAATGTCTCTGAATTTCAAATTTCAATATTAAATGAACTTATTCTGCCTTTCGTATTAGGCCCTCTGGCTCTGTTTTCCTCTCAGAATTAATCTGGAACTACGGATCTGAGAGGCAGTTTGTGGGACTCCTTGCACAGGTGATCAGCCCTGTCTCAAGGCCGCCACCTACGCAGGACAAAACAGAGAAGGAACGCGGACACACATCCATGCCTAGAGTGGGATTCCAACCCACTATTCTAATGCTTGAATAGACAAGGACATCTCATGCCTTAGACCACGTAGCCACCGTGATCGGCCCGAATATAACAGTAATGTTATTAAAGTCTTCAGTACACAATACTACTACTACTGACGCAACGATGAATGCAATCGAAACTTTATTTAAATTTACCGTTTGTATAACAATAATNAACGGATCTGAGAGGCAGTTTGTGGGACTCTTTGCACAGGTGATCAGCCCTGTCTCAAGGCCGCCACCTACGCAGAACAAAACAGAGAAGAAACGCGGACACACATCCATGCCTAGAGTGGGATTCCAACCCGCTATTCTAATGCTTGAATAGACAAGGACATCTCATGCCTTAGACCACGTAGCCACCGTGATCGGCCCGAATATAACAGTAATGTTATTAAAGTCTTCAGTACACAATACTACTACTACTGACGCAACGATGAATGCAATCGAAACTTTATTTAAATTTACCGTTTGTATAACAATAATTCCGTTCTGTCTGAGGCATGAACCATCTTCGCCCGCTCGAACACTGGAATAAGGGATTCGAATCCCACTCGGGTCATGGATGTCTGTGTGCGTTTATTCTGTGATTGTATTGTTCTGTGTGTAGGTATCGGACTTGCGACGGGGTGATCCCCCGCCCAAGGAGTCCTACCAACTGTGTGTATGTTAAGAAACTGAAGAAACGGCCAAAGGCCACAGATGGATAGATGGATAGATGGATGGATGGATGGATGGATGGATGGATGGATGGATGGATGNCTCCGCTCTGTCTAAGGCATGAACCATCTTCGCCCGCTCGAACACTGGAATAGGGGATTCGAATCCCACTCGAGTCATGGATGTCTGTATGCGTTTATTCTGTGATTGTATTGTTCTGTGTGTAGGTATCGGACTTGCGACGGGGTGATCCCCCGCCCAAGGAGTCCTACCAACTGTGTGTATGTTAAGAAACTGAAGAAACGGCCAAAGGCCACAGATGGATAGATGGATAGATGGATGGATGGATGGATGGATGGATGGATGGATGGATGGATGGTAACAATAAGTAGACAAAGGAGTACTGGGACTTGTGTCATGAGGAAAATATGCCTCCTTTCTGAATTCTAATTATTAAGCACTACAAGCTGTCTTGCCGGTCACGGTAGCCGAGCGGTCTAAGGCATGCACTGTCTTCGCTCGCTCGGAAGCCGGGATCGTGGGTTCGAATCCCACTCAGGGCATGGATGTTTGTGTGCGTTTTTCTGTGTTTGTGTACAGGTAGAGGCCTTGCGACGAGCTGATCACTCGCCCAAGGAGTCCTACCGAGTGTGTAAGATATAGAAAAACCGAAGTGAACGGAGTTCATGGAGGTAGGCCTAGGCCCACTGGGATTGTAGTGCCAAGAAAAAAAAACAAGCTGGCTTATCTTGTAAACTCTTGGCCCGTCGAGAAACCGAAACCAAACTCGTTTTCACTTATCACACGTAGTGATATTTGACTTTATTATCCGGCATCTGTGAGATATGGACAGAGGCGAAGGTGAAATTGTCCTTGTGTTTAATTAAGCAGTACAATGTGAAGACGTGTGGGAGCCTGGGTGTGTAGCTGTACGCATTATTAATCTTGACCCTAGATTGGAGTGGTGTGCTTAATGTCCCAATCGCTTTAATCCCGTTGGAAGTGCACCCGTTACGCATTATATAGCACCCTGTGTGGGCCCCAGAGCCGGTTTGGTCACGGTCGCGAAGAAAAATTTCCGACCACTCGCAGGAATCGAACCCCACCCGTAGAAACTATAGCCCAGTTGAAGTAGGCGCGATAAAATAAAAAGTTTCTTCGTAATGATGTATTAATGAAGAAGCGCCGGTCACAATGACCACGCGGTCGAAGGTATCAACTCTCTTCGCTCGCTCGAACGCTGGGATCGTGGGTTCGAATTCCACTCAAGGCTTGATGTCTGCATTATATGCGTTTATTCTGTGTGTAGGCAGAGGCCTTGCGACGGGCTGATCTCCCGTCCAAGGATCCTACCGTCTGTGTATAGGATCAAGAAACTGAAAAAGTGGCCAATGCCCAACAAAGGGACGTGGAGCCTTAATAATAATAATAATAATAATAATAGTGAAGTAATCCAGAAGACAACAATCACTCACCAGTTCGATGGTACAGGTTGTACTGCTGAGCAGCAAAACGCACCCACCGTATTTATAGGTAGGTGATAAAGACAACACAGGTGTATGCATACATTTGCACACACATAAATTATTTTTAAAAACAAAGAAGCAAATTTTGCGAAAATAGTCTGACGCTGTCAATAATTCTGACGCGTTCGCTCCATTTTATTTCATTATCAGGAACACCACGAGGCATAGTGGGAGAGAATGGGACAGTTGGCTTCACAACGCCCATTCTAAACTCTTTTAGCTGTGATACTTAGCAAGTTGAAGCCTGATTAGCTCAGTCGGTGTTACGATTGGCTACAGGCCGGACGGTCAGGGTTGTATTCCCGGCAGGGGCAAGAGATTTGTCTTTTCTCCACAGCGTCCAGACCTCCTCTGAGATCTACCTTGACACCTATTCAACTGATACCGAGGGCTATTTCCGCGACAGTAAACAGCCGGGGCGTGAAGCTGACCGCTCATTTCCATCTATTGCTGTGGTCAGGAATGTCTCCTCTATGACACGTTAGCTGAAACCTAGGAAAAATTAAGTGGAAATTTACTAAATGTAAGTTAGGGTAAATGAACGTTAGAAAGAATGAAAATTATTTCACAGGTAGATTTAATTAGTTTAATTAAAAATTGAAACACCAAAATTTATTAAACTAATTAAATTAGATACAAATATTTGCAATTAGCCCACCGTCAGACAGTGGGGCTACTTATATTGCTTTGCCGAAGGTACAGGACGTGGTGTAATTCAGGCTGCTCTGTTTGTAGACCGATTTCTGAATCATAATGTGTTCATGTTTGTGCGCGTGCGCGATTGTATGCCTGCTGGAAAGTAACTTTGTAATTTCAAAGGACGGTTCCCAACGTTTTTTAGGTACCTGTTACTACCGTCTTCAGGACAGATGATAGAGGCACTAGGTTACTCCAAACCATTGAGCACCATGTACCAGACTGTACAACGTCACATCCCAGAATATCGTAATCGCAATATTCGTCGTGAGAACCTCAGATATTATTAACTTCGTTAACTATTAGTTATGTTTCGTTAATTAACGCATGATAATTTCCGCTTAGGAAATAATACCAATTGAGTCGGAAGAATTTTATGACCGATAAAAGGTACAAACTTGTAGGAAAATTGTCTCATGGCAAATGCAAGGGAAAAACACACAAGAAGTAAACAAGTACGGTTTCCCATCACTGTATTTCGGCTTGAGGATATGTGCAACTGGATCCTAATGTTACTGTTCTTATTTTCGTTTACTGCACCACATTTTAACATAATTTTTGTAACATATTTATTTAAGGTCTGAGATGACAGATTTGTCTGTCTTTATTTGTGTCGCTTAAATCCAGATTAAATATCAAGTTCTTTGTCATCTCATGCACCCACAACAATATTTCTAGTCAAATGAAAGAAAAATTGCTTTTAATTTCTTCTTCGTTTTCTTCTTCTTTAATTTTGTGTTATGCCCTCTGGGCTCTTTCACATCAGAATTAATCTGAAACTACAGATCTGACAGAAAATTGGCGGAACTCCTTGGACTGGTGATCAGCCCTGCCTCAAGGCCGCTGCCCACACAGGACAAGATAAACACAGAAGAAACGCGGACAAACATCCATGCCTAAAATGGGATTGAACTCATGATCGCAGTGTTTGAACAGACGAAGACATTTCATACCTTAGACCGTGCGGCATGTTTTTAACTTGAAAGCAGTAATAGTCTAGTAATAAGACTTTCTTAAATATATATATATATATTTACTTTTTAATGCTAGTGGTGTGGGACTAAGTCCCTTGCACTGCGGCCACTTTTGGTCTATTGTACCAGCCCCAAATGATAGGTGAGGGTGATGGTGCAGCAATTGGTGAAATGAAGATTGACAGTGGAAACCGAAGTATTTGAAGAAAACCTATCCCAGCGCCACTTTGTCCACCACAAATCTCACTTGACCAGAACCGGGATCGAACCCGGGCCACCGCGGTGGGAAGCCAGCGACTAACCGCTTGAGCCATGGCGCGGCCCCTTCTTAAACTTACTTTCATATAGCTCAAGAGTAAGTAACTGTCATCGTGCGTAATATGTATGAGTCATTAAGTTTAGCCATAATTAGTACTTCAGCCTTAAAATTACATGGACTAATTATCAGCCTGAGACAATAATAATAATTACACCAGAATATACTTTATGAGCGGGTTAATTTACCTACTAAGTAATGGGCTTAAATTTTGCTTGACTGCTAAGGACTGTAGACGCATGAACAAGCAACACAACTAATACCATAACAATAAATTAATGCAGTAGAAATCTTCACACCGGTTGTTACGGATGTACCACCATTACTCGGTGCGTAAAGCATTTTCTATGGGAGTGGGGTGTGCCACTTGGAAGTGAGGTTTATGTTTATATAGGAGAGAATTAATATTGCCTGTCTTAAACCTCACCCTGCCTATCACAGTGGCCGCGCAGACTAAGGCATGAACTATTTTCGCTCGCCCGAACACTGAGGTCGTGGGTTTGAAACCCACTCTAGGGATGGACGTCTGTGTGCGTTATTCTGTCTTTGCCCTGTTCGTTGTATAGGTGGCGGCATTGTAACTGACTGATCCCCCGTTCAAGGAGTCCATTCAACTGTGTATAGAAATACGAAACCGAAAAAATCGACCAGGGCCCAACAAAGGATTGTAGAACCATTGATGAATGAACGAATGCATGAATGAAAACCAAACACCCCATTAATTGATCAAATATATATTCTTAGCTATTAAAATTTTAATATTTTCACATTAAGTAAATAACATTTGTAGCAGAACCCGAAATTTCATCATTACCTCCAATACAAGGCCCGGCATTGCACACGATGAAGTCACCATCCTTCCTCATAATCTGTCTCTGTAAGCTACATTTTAATTATACTTTCATTTCCTTAACGCTCTTCCTAATCGCTTCCTCACCAAAAGTCTGTAAGCTTTTCTTATCTCCCCATCTTAGCTACATACCTAGGTGATTCCCCTAGATATCAATATCCTGTAAATATGCACCGATCACAGTGGCCGCGCGGTCTAAGGTATGGACTGTCTTCGCTTGCTCGGACACTGGGATCATGGCTTCGAATCCAACTCAAGGCATGAATGTCTCTGTGCGTTTGTTCTGGGTTTGTGTTGTCCTTTATGTAGGTAGCGGCTTTGCGACGGGCTGCTCACTCGTCCGAGGACCCCTACAGTCTGTGTAAAAAGATTACGAAACTGAAAAAGAGGCCAGTGCCCAACAAAGAGTTATAGAACCATTGATGAATGAATGAATAATTATTCGTAATAAGTGACCTATTGAAATCATGAATTTACCCCTTGTGTAATATCCCAAGTTGCTCATTTATTCTTATTTCTTAGGTCTCTGTATTTTCATGAGCCCTTTGTTCCCAAATATTTGCTATTTGTATTCCTACTTCAAGAAAGTAACTGCGTCCCAAACAAAGGAACTGTCAGGGTTACTCCCCTTTGTCTATTCCGTTCTTCAGTGTTTTGGAGAGTACCCGGAATAATAACAGTTTCCGAATGAGATATTAACAAGAAATTCCGTAATATATTCTAATTTCATTATGAACTCTTTCAACCTGTTAATGTTGTTACCACATACTTGAATTTTGAAACTGTCTCTATTAGCACACAGGTCTCGGAACGGCAGTCCTCCTCAGCTCTGCAAGGTTATAAACATGTTGATATGTTGAAATCAGAAAAAGATGTCTGGTGTGTGTACGACCATATAGGGATCAATTTTTATGAGCCTCTGTACCTTTAATCTGTCATGCTCTAACTTTAGTTTACCATGTATGTGCAGCTTCAATGCTGAGCAAAAAAATTTCGCTGTCTGTTTTCCACAGCATCTATACTTGCTCTGGGGCCCACACAGCATTCTCTCTAATAACTACCGGGGGCTCTTTCCCCCGGGGTAAAGTGGTCAGGGCGTGAAGCTGATATCTCACCTCCATATAGTGAGGAGGTTTAAAGTATGTGCATCTATACATGCACTCTCCCACACCGTCTTAATAGTATTATGTTAATTCGATTAAACATAGGAACTGTTTAGCGTTTGCCATTTCATTCAATCATACATAAATGGCTCTACAGTGATTTTTGAGGCCCTGGCCGCTTTTACAATTTCGTACTCCTATACACAGTCGGCAGGACTACTTTGACGGGGGATCAGCCCGTCGTAAGGCCTCTACGCACACACAGGACAGCACAAATACATAATAAATGCACACGGAAATCCATTTCTCAAGTGGGATTCGAACCCATGACCCCAGCGTTCGAGGGGACGAGGACAGTTCACACCTCAGACCGTGCAGCTGCTGTGAAACTTTACCTTGTAAGGTAAAGTTGTACCTGTGGTTAAATAATTAAGCACTACACCATGAAGACGTATGAAGGAGTGAATGTATAGATCCAAATTTTCTTGACTTCGGCACTAGTTGGAGGTGAGTGGTCAGCTTCACGCCCCCGCCGCTTTACTCCCGGTACCCATTAGATAGGAGGTTGATTGGACCCCAGAGCCGGTCTGGACGACGTGGAGAAGAGACTCGAACTCCGACCTCTCGGTCTCCCAGACCGTAGCCAGTAGCTATACCGACTACCCTATCCCTGCTCCACCTTAATTTTTAACCTTTCAGAATTGAAAAGAATGAGCCGTATCACACCATTAAATACATATTTAACCGGAAGAGTCGCTAAAAACGTTAACTATGCATACCGTAGCCAAACAGAGTGGGCGGCTTGCTGGTACAGTCACCCGCAGTTTTCATCTCGAGAACGTTTATAATGATACTGGCGGTGTGTGGGTCCTCTGTGACGTGTGAGAGAGATGATTCCCTGCCTCATTCATAATTTAAACAAGGGGCACAGTTATCATATTCTACATCATTTATTTACATGAAAGTGTAAGTTGCAAAGAGAAGCTCTGCCACATTGCGCTCAGTATTGCCTCTCCCTCCTCGCTTCATACCGAATATGGCAGTGCAATGTTGAAGCGTTTCTACTTTGTGTTCCGA